ACATTCATCACCTCGGAGGACGTTACTTCCTCTCTGCTAGAGCACAAACTATCAAATTCTCTACTGGTCCACTCAAAATGTCTCCATTGGCAATCTATCACATCCCTTGCAACGTCACTTCTGACGACTTACCAACGGGATTTGGTGTTTGTCCTTCCGTTCTCTCCATAACCTTCCCTATCTTTAGAAGGAAAAGAGTCAAATTTGTTCCTTGGACTCCATCTGATAACAATGCAACGTTGGATCTTCACTTCAAATCTTTGAACATTCCACCTCCGTTGAAATTCAATAARTCTGTAACCAAGGCTTTGGATGAAACATTCAAACGTCTAGATGGAGAATTCRCGGCAAAGCTCCGACGCGTTCGGGCTGATATCAAACAGATCCACACCGTGAATGTTACTCCTACTGCTACGATCCTCGCTTCAATCGCYTTGGYTTTCTCCATAATTAACATTATTGTGMTTGCCACCATCTGCTGTTATCAATACCGCTATAAACGCGATGAATTTTCACTAATCCATCTTACACAACCAGATCCCACGCGCCTACCTGAACCACAAGACGTCGAGGTACAACACAGCGACCAAGTCATCCCTTGTCCAGATTGTGGAAGTACCTCCGACGTCGACCACCAATCCATCTAACGTTCATATCTTCAACATGGCAGCCACCCTCTTTTGTGTTATCTGCTTGGAGGAGACTCCAGAGCTCCATCTGTTACCATGCTGTGGGCGACCAGAAAATCACAATGTCGCCCATGATACGTGCCTGGAGTCATGGCTGACCAGACGTCTCACATCACAGACCTGCCCAGTATGCAGAACTGCGCTAGACATTTCACATTCTGAAGACGATCTTCAAAATTATCGTCCCCTTTTTAGAGTACGGCCATCCCCGGGGNTCAATTGATTAATGACCAGATAAATGGAAGCAACAATAACTACCTTCCTTGCAAAGTCCATAGCATATTCAATACTTTGTGCCAATGGTGGTGTCACATCAAAGTACAGTCTAGATGGTCTCTGAAGATTATGTGTTCTGATTTTGGARCTTTTGTGAGCCCCTCCAATAGGTATGCATCTCCCTTCYTCGTTGTATGTGCGATAAATAAATCTATAAAACCAATTATTAAATAAAATCATTATGAATATATGCATGTAAAAGTGCTTGATTTGTGCCAGCACTTTGGGAAAATGGTTAAAAAGATGCTACCAAATTTTCAATGATGGTATTCGAATGCTTTACTCTGTATGTGGAATATGAGATTAAATTTGCAATATTATGGGACACATTTTCTTTTTCAAAGGCAGTAATTCAGTATTTATCAAGCCTCCAGTCATGCTAAGTAATAATATTTTATTTGTAACGATTTTCATGTGCATTATATTGCACTACGCTTTATACAGATATTGAGCTGAAGTTTTAGAGCTGTATACACATATTTCACTCATCCCATACTTCTTTTCATGGTAATCTCAGTTTGTACTTTTTCACTTTGAAATCTTTTATTGACCCCTGAAATCATGTTATAGTAAGTTGYAAATTTTTCTTATATAACTATCCTACATATAGCGAAGAGATTAAAAACTGAACAACAAAAAGTCTTCYTTTCTGTTGTAGTTGACATTCCTAAGTTTTCCCCGAATTTGTGTTTACTTAAGGATTGTTATTATTGCTTTTTGACACTCGGCGGTGATTTTATTTGGTTTTCAGTATCGTGGGAGCATTTACCAAACAATCGCAAATTTTACATAGTTGGGACTGGACTGGGATTTACTCGCTGGTGCTCGCCCGTGCTTATCCAGAACCGAAGTTAAATTAATAAAATTTTTAATTGTTTACTTAAAGTTCTATTTGTTAAGTAATTTCAATTTGATTAATTGTATCATTTTGTATTCGTCTACACAATCAACCTTTGAGTTGGTGTTGCCATTGGCGGCTTGATTATCCAAAACAAATCACATAGCTACAATCTYCAWTTAWTYAGSTTTTAGAAAATGTATACTTTTACTGGGGTATCTTTAACAATTAGCATTATATGAGAAGTTAATTGACCATTGGTCGCGAAGGTCCCCTGATACCTTAAGATAACATTCTGGGGAAAAACCTACTCAAGGGTTAATTTACCGCAAGCCTTGGAATAAACATAATAACAAGAACCACTTCGTGGAACACACCGTCTCCAGCTTACATTAAGAGTATAGAATTTTGCCATGGAATATATTTTTATCAGCGCAGTGATTGATTTGATAGATTGTACACAAATAATATCTGTTCACATATTAATTTCTT